GTACCCTGGAGGCAGGGGCAGGCATGTTGAGGGGAGAGAGTCTGTCCTGGGAGTGGGCTTCATGGCTCTTGGGCTTCTTCAGCCTCTTTCCGTGCTGCAAGGTGTCTCTGGATCATCAGCACACAGAGGGGTTCTCATGCCAGTTTCTAGAACATTTGGGGAGTGGATACGGACTTGAGAGGGATAGTGCCTATGTAAGGTGGCAGAGCAGTATGGCAGAGTGAGGACCCCAAAGTCCCTGTTAACTGGCTTGCTCACCATATGAAGCCCAGTGTGCACCTGCCCACAGGGCTGGATCCCAGGAGCTCAGAACCACGGTGTATAGCTATCCTTTCTTGACCACAGGCGCTCATGGTCAGCCTGACTGCAGCAAAGCATGTCAGGGCATCCCCTCAGCATCCTGAACCTGCTCCAGTCCCCTAGTGCCCAGTGCCCAGCTGCCAGGAATCTTGGAGGCACCTCCAAGTTTGACAGAGAGCATGTCCGCAGACTTCACCATCACTGCCAGCTGCCCAGAGGAACTTTCTCCTGCTTTTCTCCCTTGCTGTTGGTCTGGATAAAACTGGCAACCAGCAAATCAGGAGACTGCTGTGGTTCTTCATGGTTGGCTCATCCCTTCCCTGCCTTGTCTGAGGGTCAGGGTGTTCCCAAAGAGACTCCGGAATAGCAGGGGAGCTGGGCAGGGGCTCCATTGATTCTGAGACCATAACCTCTCCTCTCCCCAACACACATACTGCAACTTTGATGACAGGAATCCAAGACATCTGACCCTGCTCCTTCCCCCATGCTCCGTGCCAACCCAGGGTTTCTTCTACTCCCCAGGACTCCTGGCAGAGGCAGGCGTGCAGCTGCTGTCCTACCAGACCTCCGTGGTGTCAGATGGGGAGACCTGGCATGTCATGGGCCTCTCCTCCGTGCTGCCCAGCCTGGAGGCTTGGAAGCAACACGTGACCGAGGCTTTCCAATTCCACTTTTAACATTGGGGTTCACTGGTCCCAGCCTCAGGACCTTTTCTGAAGAAACCTTCCCACTGTGATCTACAGAGAGAGATCCACACTCCTGGGGCTGACACCTCTTAGCTGCAGCCGTCATTAGACCCCTGTACACAGCAATAACTCCCTACTAAAGAGCCTATCCCAAGTCTTGAATCTTTGTGTTGTCATTACCCTGAAGAGCCACCAGAGGGCATGTGCGGGCTGCCGTGGGGCTTGGTTTTTTCTGCGGGGAGGGTAAAGTGGAGTGAGTGTGAGGTGGGTGAACCGCATGCCTGGGGGTGGGTGCTCTGAAGAGCCCTCCCCTGTTTCTCAGGTCATTCAGGGGTATTTTTACAGGAGCAAAGTTTCTTATTTCAAATCTCTTTCATCTGGGAATATACACAC